AGCGCCCACCCAGCATCGATTATCGTCGACCGTTGCCGTTCGGCGGGGAAAATCGCGAGACGAAAGGGGGGCGGTTTGATAAACGGAAGTCAACCGCGCGACACGAACAGGATAAATCTTCATTCCTGTTTGCGACCGAAGCTCCCGCAAAACCAAGGCGAGCGTAAGCGCGCGCGCGCGCACGCGGCGCGAGCGCGACAAAACATCTCGACAGTAAAGAGAGCATGGACACGAGCAACGATGTTTCACCGGGGGATAGTCGGAAGAAAAAAGCGGAAAGAGGACAGGCGAGGGAAAAGACTAGATCGATAAATGGATAGCTAGCTGGAATTACTTGTTTCGTCTTGGGATCAAGAGACCGGCTGGCGTACATAAGCTCGTGTTCTTCCTCTTCGACCTTAAATACGTTCCACTTTGATCTGTCGGATCTAAGCTGAGGATTTTCGTGTTTTCAAACAAAAAAAAGTCCTTCTTTTGATATATCTAAAAACTATTCTTTCAACTTAAATTTGGTACAATATTAAAGAGATATTAATTATGCATTATATTTATCTATTATTTTCTAATTATTATACTACAATGTATAAAAAATTAGTGCCTTGGTAATTCATTAAAAATTGTTAAATATTATTTTCTTACTAACTTATTAGAAAAACGCTAACTCTTTTATTGTTGTTTAACTGTCCTAGCGCTGAAGGATTGAGATATTTTCGTGGATGTCACAAATTCGCGGTTGAAATCGAAATAAAAAATTCCCATCAATTTGGCGCAACCATTTGTAAGTAGAACGAGAAATATCCGTAGTTATTTGAAAACCGAAAGATATACAACGTGAACAGTTTTGACAAAAGTTCGGACTTTCAGACCATTCTTCGTCAAAGTATATCTTTTTTTTTATGGCCGTCTCGGACGGACGAAAAATGAGAGGACGACGAAAGGGAGGACAAAGTAGTTCGAGGAAACGTTATTTCTTTTACGAGCGCAGTAAGACGTCGCACGAGCTAAAACTCCAACGGGAGAACCCTCACACAAGTCAGCAACTCATTTAAAAGCTATAATGTGCTTTCTTCCTAGTGTATTTACGCCATTCGCTTGGTATCACTCAATCCAACTGCAATATACTCGCGTATACTTGCGTATCTCGTCACGACGTGCATGCTCATTTCCAGTGTGCAGCGAGTGTCTCGACTTTGACCTTTCTCGCATTCTATCCACGCTATTTCACCTTTTCTCGCGTCACTGCGCTTTTTCATAAAATGAAGGGGAATTAGAAAACGCTAGTACGCAAATTGCCGACAATTATCCGATCTGTGAATTTTCTGGTAAAAGAATCTCTCAGTTTTCTTAAAATTACGAGATATTTTCCTGAAGAACAGCAATCTTGCAGTTTTATCCAACCAAATTGAAGAGTTTTTTCTCCCGGAAAATGAGGATTTTGGGAAAATTTTCTCCCGGAAGTGAGGATTAATTACAAGTATAAAAATTAGCAGCTCTTCTTTAAAATAATCTGATATTTTTCCAAAATTTAAGATAAATGGATAAATTTAGTAGATTTGACATAACCTTAGTTTAAATATTATTTAAAGTATTATTTACTAATACTTTTTTTATATAAAAGAAAGAAAGAGAGAGCTGTCTCCAAAAGTTGTAAAAAGAAATATAGAAAATCCAATATATAATCTCGCATCAATCTATAATCTAACACGAGATATAATCAATATCTATTTAGAATTAATCTATAATTTATATTAAATTTATTTATATTAAAAAAACAATTTATAAAACTTGAAGCAAACAATTTCGACATGCTTTAATTAAATATATTAGTAATTTTTTATATGAGAAAGAGCCGTTTCAAAAATTTATACAAGATGTATAGAAAGTTTGACATGATGTATTGTAATGTGAAAGAGATATATATAAAACGGGTTAGAGTACGGGGAAGTTAGAACACTCTGCCTCTGGCGTTTCCTCGCGTATCGAATTATCCATTGAACAAATCCAATTTGATTGGGAGGCAGGCTTGTGTATTCACAGTCACTGAACACGCTCAGCCGACTCGGCCACCCTGTCGTCTCCGCGTGTAGTAACGATATCGGGTAAGTACGTGCGGGAGGATTTTTGCTCGTGGCATCTGGCCAGGTCAGGTCGGAAGTAGCGCCCGCACACATAACTGGACGGATGAATCTGCAGGGAGGGGGGTATGCGCCGCAGCAAACTCGGGATGAGGGGAAAAAATCAAATAAGAGGAAGAAGAAGCTACAAAGGTCTCCGACGAGCTGGCGTTTCGAGGTAACGTCGCGACAGCGTTCGCGCGATGCGCACACGCGATAATCAACGAGCGCGTATAATCGACTCGGGCGGCACTCTTCCATCGCGAATCTCAGTCTAGTGTGTCGCTCTCGACAACATTATCTTTATCTACTCGTTGCGACCCGTGGCTAAATGTGTGTTCTGCTTATCTAAAGGTTACACGTGATATAAGTAATTTCTCGCGTGGCTCGTGTGGCGCGCAATGTCTAAATTATGTAAGATAAAGTAAAAATCTCATTGTCTCGCGTTATCTCGCATTATTTTATGACACTCGCGAAGCGTTAGCGTTAATCGAGGTACTCGCGGCATCGCGATATTTTTCAAAAAGCATAACTGATAGCCGTGACTTCGAGCGGTTACGATTCCTAACGAATTTATAGCACAGTTATCGTTTACCATTAAAAAAATCCTGCGGCATTGCGCGATCATCCACGCCGACTTCAATTCAAATTTCATTGCATAATGCAGATGTAAATGCAATAAGATTCTCCAAGCATTCCGATTTAACCGACTTTGTGGGCAAGCTCTCGTTATCGCTCTGAGAGAATTAATCGTTTTCAAACTACACGCTACGTGCCGTGAAGCGTAATAAAAGTATTTCGCGAGAGTTGATACGCGAAAAGCGCAAACTCGGGCGCGTCGGATTTTCAGATGATTTTACCGAGTCGGTGAGGTAAATCGTTGCTCAGCACAAGGTTGAACTTGTCGGGAATTTTAGTGCACCCCTATGATGAGGTATAACTTTCAGCGAGCATCAACCCTCGGCTTCGGGTATCCGCTGGCATACATGAGTTTCGACGAGCACACTAGTCGAGCTACTATCAGATAGTATACTCCGGGAGGGGGGGGAAAGGGGGTTGATTCCTTTTTTTCAGTCCGCTACAACGCGAAGTGGAGCGAGTGTAACGAACGCTAAATTGGACGATGTGACCTACGACCGACGGGGCGGCTAAACCTCGCGCGATTTCTTCCGCCGATACCAATTCGCGAAGATTTACAGGCGAGCGGAATTATTGATGCGCCGCGCGCGACCCGTGTGCAAGCGAGAACAAAAAGCAAACACGATCTGTTCTGTGCGTCATCGAGGCGATTAACGCCCGGCGATTTCGGACGCACCATTGTGCGCAAGTGCGCTGCGATCAACCGAAGATTCATCTGTGCTTTATTCCGTCTGTTTTTTTTTATTCGCAAATAAGCCAATCGTGGATATTAGATGATATTTATTTATAGCGAAGCTGCAGTTGCAAGAGCGCAGGGGATTTAAAGATACAGGAACTCGGATAATTAGCGGTATAAACCGAATATTTGCTTTAGCAATTATTCCGTAGCGACTTTGTTTTACTTGAACCTTGTTTTATAGTTTACTTAATCGAGGCGATTAAATATAGCTCACCGAAAAGCTTTTTCTCGCGAATATCGCGGCACTGCGGAATGTCGCAGCCATGTGTGTAACTCGACCTATAAACGAATAACAAAAAAACAAAAAAGAAAATAAACAACAAATCGCCATGCGCGCCACCGAGCCGGCGTTATTCTTTCGTTATAAACCAGCCAAGGGAGAGCTTTTATACTTATTCGTATGCGCGAACGGCACGCGGAGACGATTTAAATGAAAGTGCTTATTACTTTTTAGACTGCCGTTTACGCGGGAGTAATCCTCTTATAATCTCCGGTAGTTACCTTCGAAAACAATTTCGCATCGCTTTTACCGCGCGACATTGTTTCTCCCCAGTTGTCCGATGCGAAAACCCGGAGGGCTATCTTATTTTTTTTTTCGAGAGCCCGTAGCACTTGGTTTCCGCTGCTCTTTCGGTGCACCGAATTTTGATCCGCTTCATGTTTTTTCAATTATTTCTCGACAGCGACAGGGTTGGCCTTTGTATCCGGCGGTATCCTCGTTCTCATTTCGCCCGCTCTGTTTGAGTCTCGTCCGGCGCATGTTGGAGAACGGAAAAAGGGCCGTCGGAGTGCGGGAGAAGTAGAGTGCCGGGCAACTAAACCAGACTGCGGCCGGTCCGGGTCGGGTTTTTGATTAAAACTAAACAGTGAATAAAAATTCCTTGCACGGCACGTACACGACGCACGGGCCCGGAGAATTCTTAGCTGCAACAGCGCATCAGCGTTACACGCACAAAACGTCCGGCCGTTCCGCCTCCTCCTCGATGCGGTTGCGGAAAAGTGGAGGCAACGCGATTTAATTTGTTTATTCCACCGCGCTCTAGTCTCGCTTCTCTTTACCTCCTCGCCCTCGTGTTACCGCGAGGGAGAAATGCACTTTTCAATTCCGTTCCGGCAACCGCCTCCGCGTTATTGCTCAAACGAGGAATCTTTCGAGGCCGGCCGACTAATGAAATGCTGTTTCGGCTTGCGCGCGCGGCTAGCTTTCGGCCAGTGCGGATACGCGAATTCTTCTCGCCGGCGAAAGAGAACGCCAGTCAGCAAGCGAGGGTGATGAGAGGAGTTCATTCGGACATGACAGATAAAAAGAGCTCATAATGCAACTACGCTTCTCCTTGCTATTCTAATCCGACATATTCCGCACGTTGTGCATCGCATACGTATTGACCCCGTCTCGTGAAAACAGCCTCGACGTGCTTCCGCTTCTGTTTTTGGCAGACAAAAAAAGTTCGGCGCACCCGAGAGCACATAGAGGAAGTAGAGGAATTATAAATCGAAATGGTACTTACAAAGATCAACTCTGCAGTCGGCTGTTCCGCAGCATCCGGGCACACGCCCTCTGAAAAGAAACCAGAGAGTTGTACTGTATTTTTTATAGATGAGAAACCGCAGTCCGCCGCCGATGCGTGTACAATGCTATTTTTACCGGCCGACAATGTAGCGCAAAATTCTAAATAATCTCAACGCTGTCTCATAAAAGTCGTAATAAATAACAATTCACTTTTTAAAATTCATTTCATTGTTTCGAACTGACATCGGCAGAAGACACTTCTCTCCCACATTTTGACGCGCGAACAGCGTAAAAAATCATGAATAATCGTGGGAACAATAGAGGCGAGGTCTGACAATGTTGCCCGCGGCTACCCGGAGAAGCCGGTAATGGCGGATGGCGGTTGACAGAAGTGCACGATTTTGTCATTACGTGGAGATCACCTCGCGGCCGGACGGGGGCCGCCTGCGCTTGGCACGAACGAAACGCAGGAGACGGGAGAAGAAAGAAGAGGAGAGAACAAGACAAAGTGGGCGACAGTCGGAGGGGGTGATGGAGCCCGGTTTTCTCGGAGAAGAAAAGAAAACGGTGGGTCCAGTAAACGCGTAAAGCACCATGATTACCCTTCCACCGTAGGCGCAAACCACGAGAAGAAACGAGAGTAAATAGGCGGATGCGCGAAGCAAGAAAGAGCGCGCCGATGAGCTGAAGCGAGAAGCGTGGAAGAGGACAACGCGGTCGAGAAGGGTCGCGCGCGGTCTCGGCCGGAGTTCAACGGACTCGCGCGTTGAATCTAAGTACTCCGGTGTAACTCTCTCGCTCTCTGTCCTCCATTCGCGCGATCTCTGTCTCTCTAGATATATGTTCCCTCTCCATCCACTCGCCGTACATCTTTTTCCGTGCCTAACGCTTCTACGTACGTGCACGGAGAGGACGGTATCGGGGACTGGCTGGGTTGGCTGCGAAGCGCCGGCCGGCGATGTAACGGTAGCCTTAAGCGCGGTCCGCGAACGTGGCTTAGTCCGTAGGATAGATAAACGTTATAGTAAGATGGATACTGTCTACGTGTTCCGAGATAGAGTCCCCCGGGCTCTAAAGTACGACGCGAGAGCGTGCATAAATATCCCTTTGCTTGGCGGGGATTAAGCAAAAATTTCGACTGATTGAAAAATATAACGACAATCAAAATCCCCATAGCGTTATATTATTCTTGGTTGCTTATATTTTTCCAAGTACACTGGTTATGGAAAAAATCGATGCACTTCTATCTAACAATGAGCAAGCTTCTCCATTCGCTGAAACTTATTGGTGAGAAGATAAAATAATTGAGGAAATCTGTGTCTTGAATGTTATTGAATAACTTGGAAATGTCGAAAGGTCAAAAAATATCACGGACATAAAATTAGTTTATCAGAAGGCGTCGATCTTTTTAATGAACAGCGTATCTCAGGTGATATAATGGCACATATTAATAAAGGTTGCGACAAAGTTAATAATTTAACAGAAATTTATAAATAATTTTAACACTCGTCTCACAAGAGGTCGCGATAAACGACAAACTCACTTATCGAAGAACTAAATATATTCGACGAGATAATTATATTGCATCGCTCAAACTAGCCGGCTATTAAACTCATTTACGACCGCTGTAGCATAAGCGAGTGTAATTACCTCTCGGCAAAGGGTATATCGGAGTCAGTTGGTGGAGAGACACGGAGAGGAACGAAGGGTTCCGGATAGTCGTTACGTCGTGTATACAAGAAATTGTAGCCCGTGGCTGAGAACCGGGAGAAGACGATCCGTCTGGGGGTTTTCGTCATGAATAACGCACCCGCTGCAGTGTGTTCGCGAAAGCGTAAAGTTTCGAACATGCTTTTTTGATTTAGCAAAGAGCAGATGGAGCGGAGAGGCGACACGTGCACCCGACGCCGGGAAAAACTTATCGCAAATAACAGTCCAAATAGTTGTTCGTTACGCTGATGGTACACCGACCGAGTACACCATCTGGAAATCCACGATTCTTGCGATGGTGTACCAAAATGTTGCACAACAGTTGTAGAACGTTCCTTTTAATTCATTACTTCATTTCAGCTATCTGCAAGTTATTTTCATTTAATTGAGAGAGGTGTATCGATGACTTCATTTATAACTGCATGAAAGGTGAAAAGCTCCTCTCCGCGAGAGAATTTAAATTAATAAATTTTTAATGAGAAAATTTTAATTAGTACCATTTTTCAAGCGACATAAATTTGGAGAATAAATAGATTACCTTAACGATGGAACGTGAGAAAAGAGGAACACAAGGGAGTCCACCACGGTGAATACATTACTACTGTTACGGCGTTAGCGTTAAAGAGTTAAGGCAAGTTTCGGTAAAAGGGTGTTCACTTTCCGTCCATGCTCACCGCTTCATCGACTCTACTTAGAGCTTAACCACGCCGCCCTGCACCGTCGATTGCTCTCGTTAGCGTCGCCGGCGCATACGCACTTCCTTCCACGCCCGCATTCGCCGCTCGGAGTGCACCGGAGTGTTCCCCCTAAGTCGTTCCCAGAACACCTTGGTTGCGCGCCATTGCCTATCCGCATTCCCGTGGCGGTACATCCGGGCCAAAGTTTGCGCACTTAGGTGAGCTGGGAGTAACGAGACGGCGAAGGCGAAGCAACACGTTGCACGAAACTTGCTCTATTTATCAGCGGTTAAGAGATGGCCCGGCGAGAGTGCTCTCGGCACGTGTATATTTGCGCACGATACAAAAGAGGCGAGGGGTGGCGGAGAGGGGGACGGTAATGCGACGCTAGTCACCGGTGAAAGATGAAAGCGAGAAAATGTGCGCCGCGAGAGCGGAAATCGCCGCATTATTGGTACAGCGGCAGCTGCGACGCCGACAACGACCGATAACTTGCTTCAGTAAAATTGAAAACAGATTTGAGATAGAATCACCTGCATTTCACACTAATACAATGGAAATTCCAATTTGCTGCTATTTCTCGCGAAATATATCCGTTTGTTTAATATCGCAATTACATCGTTATAATTTATCGCGTAATCGTTACTTTCAAGAATATTAGTGCAAATCAGATTTTCTATTATCGCTATTATTAAAGCTGATTTATGCATTATTGTCATAATTTGTATATTTTGCGAGATTCCGCGCTTTTATGAATCTTGAGTAAATATATTTAGCGTCGAACAGAATTTCTTTTATAATAAGAGTTTGTCATCATTAGGCGTTCTATTATACAAAACGCGCGTGTTTGCGGTAATATAATTGAGTGCGATCGATAACGTCGCGTTAATTAAGATATTTTGGACGAGGAAAAATTGGTTTGCACATTAATACCCGGTTCACATTAATTACAGGTTATTGACTTCGGAAATGTCGGCTGCAATTTTAATTGCCATTGTGCGAAGAGATGTCAGTTAATCGGATTTGAAACTGGGTTACGATGTCTGCGTATAAATAAAACGAAATAAGGCAAAAACACAGGCGGCGCCGCGAAATTTGCATATTAACTCACAAGCAGTAGCGATTTAATACAACACAATATAAATTTACATAGTACACATAATTCACGAATTTCAATAAAGCATCAATTTAATAGTATAACCTCGTTTCACTTGTCGTCATACGTAATCACCGTTGTGATTTTCGATTAATTAGCGACGGCACTGACGTAAAATGGAAACTAGCGTCGATGTATGATGTATATATATATACGTGAACGTACCCACTCAAAGCTTAATATAAATGCAATGTATAATTAACATACGCGTAATATGCAGCAGCGTCGAGATGCCTTCCAATCGTCGCAGTAACTAGGATACATTATGTCTATTTGATACGAGTGACCTCTCTCTGCAATGCCTCTGTCTCTCTTCTCTATAAAATAATTCCATTGCAATGGAACAATTGCACGATGTATTAATATATACAACCCGTCGTCTAGTGGTTTCGTTAGGCAAAACGAGCTTTTTGCAAATTTATGGCGTTACATGCAGAGTTGGTATTTCGATGAGCGCAAAAATACCGCATGATTGCGCTTGATTTTAACACGAAATTGCTTAAATAACAATCTCGCGTGGCAAACACGTAGTGTGGAAAACTCGGGAAACGAGCTCGGCTATTTTTTGGTTTAATCGCGTCGCCACGGTTACCGGCGTTTCACAGTCGGACGAGAAGAAGGGCCGTCATCAGGGCAGCGCAAAACTGCACACAGATGTGCCACTTACGAGTGAACGATCTGCCGTCACCCGACTTTACGGCGGTCGCGTCCACGGAGTTTTTATATCGTTTTTATGAGCGACCCCGAGTCTTCCTCGTCCGCGAGAAGGACCCGCGAGACTCCGCTCCGCGCGTAAGACCAACCCCTCTCTTTGCCGCGTCGTCGGTCGGAAGGGCGAGAAAAGGAGAGGGCAGAGGGACACCCCGGGCGTAGGAACAAAGGACGAGAAGACCGTCGCGGTGTCCCGGATATGCGCGCTGTTTCGTCTCCTCGTCGTCGTTGTCGTCGGGGACACAAAAGGGATTACAGTTTCCGAATCACTGGATATCTCGCTTAGTCGGCGTCGCTTCCGCGAACGGGACCG